CTTGTCATACAAGAAAAGGTTGTTATGCTTTGAAGAATAAGCAAAGGGCTAAGAGCAAGAATAACAATGTAGAAGCAAGTACTGTAGCTGATGGTGAAGAAGGGGTCACTTTTACTGTTGCATGTACATCATTATTTACTGAAGACACTTAGGTTTTTGACTCTGATGCTTCATTTCATGCTTGCCTAGAAAGCTTATATTTTCATCATGCGCAAATGTAGATGGTGGTTTTGTCTATCTTGGTAATGACCATGCTTGCAAAAATTTGGGCATTGGAATGTTATTATTAAGCAACTGGATGGAAAGAAGCACACATTGAGAAATGTGAGGCATGTTCATGACTTCTCATTTCAGTTGAGCAATTGGATGACTCTGGTTTCATTGTAACTTTTGGAAGTGGATCATGGAAGATTTCACAAGGTAGCATGACAATCTTAAAGAGGCAAAAAGATGGAACTCTCTACATTCTTCATGGCACAGCTCAAAGGAATGATGCTATAGAGCAGATCGTTGCTATGACTGGTAAGCATGAGTTTATGCATATTTGATATAGTTGCTTGGATCATCTCAGTGAGCATGGTATGTAGGTATCATAAAATCAAAACCTTATTCCTATTTCTAAACATTCCATTCTTTATTTTTGTGATCATTGTGCCATGGGTAAGCAGTGTAGAATTAGCTTCAAAAGCAATGAATCTCATAGAAAAAGCAAAGCATTAGGATTATAATATGTTCTGATGTTTGTGGCCATGTTGATTTTAAATCTCTTATGAAGCTTCTTATCTTGTGACCTTTTTAGATTATTATTCTGGAAAGTGTTGGTTGTATCCTTTGACATTTGAGGATCAAGTTTTTGATGTTTTCAAAGCTAAGGTGGGAAAAGAAACAAAAAGATTTATTAAATGCCTACAAACTGATAATGGTGTGAATTGCTCAAATGCTTTTGATGCTTTTTATAGAGAGAATGACATTAGCAGAGTAAGAACTATTCTTGGAGCACCACAATAGAATAGTGTCATTGCGAGGATGAATAAGACCATCATTGAATGTGTAAGACGTATGCATTCGCAATCTGGTCTTGGCAAGCAATTTTGTGCTGAAGCTATTGTTAGAATTGTATATTTGATCAATATATCTCCTAGTGCACCCTTGAATGGTAAAATACCTGAAATTCTTTGGAGCGATAAAAGTGTGTCATATGATCACTTGAACATTTCGGTGTGAAGTTTATGTTCAAACGTCAAGTGTAAATAGAACAAAGATGGATTGCTAGTCAAGAACATGTACTTTCTTAGATATGGTAGTGATGATAGAGGCTATAGGCTTTGGGATGCTATTGCAAAGAAGACCATAAGGAGTAGGGATGTTCTCTTAATGAGAATGTGATGTTCTCTTTAATGAGAATGTGATGTTTGCTTAAAAGAAGTAAGAAGAGCCAAAGCAAGAGAGACTTGTTGTAGATATGCAAGTTTGAGATCCCATTGTTTCAATGCAAAAAATTCAACCTCATGCTCAAGATGATGTTGATGGAGGTGATGATCCATTCCTTTTACTCTCTCTCTCCAGAGCCGGGCCCAAAATCAGGCACCAAACACAAGGGTTGCAGCATAAACAATTATTGTGCATTCAATTTATATAAACATGCAGTGGAAACAATATGAAATTTCATACAATCAAGACAACAATGTAAATGGGAATGCAATTAACCATCAAACAACACAAGATTTAACATTGTTCAGCCACAAATTGTAACCTATATCCACGGGAGAACGGTGTGAGGCTTTACATACTGATTCAAAGATATTAGAAAGAACAAGGTTCAAAGCATGCAATTACAACAACCTTCTTTCTTTAAAACAAGGCCTAATTGAGGGCACCAAATACAACAAAAATGGGTTTTCTCTTGACTCTTTCTCTCACTAGAAAAGGGCCTGCAACAGGGATTCAAAACCCAACAAGATAACCCTCTTTCTTCATTTTCTCTCTCTAGAAGGTTAGGCACGTAGATAGGGAATAAAAATCTGTTGTGATCTCTATTCTATCTTTTTTTCCTTTTTGTTCTCTCTTACTAAAACAAATGACAAAACCCCTTTTAACATGTAATTTCAAAGCACCACAATCATTGGATTAGTTTCAATCCAATGGCTCTAAACAACCCACGTGTGTGATTTGGATTCAGACATATAATATCTCCCACTTGAAGACAAGTCACCAAGCCTCTAAAGCAACCACACATGCACCATTCTCCATCTCCTTGAGGTTATGTCTCCTCCAATTTTGAAAACCTTCTACACATCTTATTCTTCTCAGTTGAAACAACTATTGCCAATACATCAATGAGGTTCTTCTCAGTGTTGATCTTATCCATTTGCAAATCCTTATGTTCCAGGGCTAACCGAATGACATAGTGTCTAACCACTAACAATGTATGACATAATTATCTTATTTCAGCCCAAACTGGTCAAGTAATCTCCTCAACCAAATCATTTCTTTTGTTGCATTTGAAAATGTTGCCAATAGTGGATCTTCTAGTCTCATGGCACCTTGGCATAATCTGTATCTACAAAACCAACAACTTCCAAAGGTGAATTTTCAAAGCACAGACGTACATTTTGTGCCCCCTTCAAATACCTAAGGATCCACTTTGCTGTTTGCCAAAGTTCTCAACTGGGATAAGACATATATAGAAACAACTCCCACTGCATACAAACCATTGCAGACATGGAACTACCCTTTGCAAAACTATATGGAACATTTTTCATCTTGCTTTTATCTACCTCGGTAATTGGAGAGTCATTTTTAGACAACTTAAAATGTGCAGCTAATGGTGTAGGAACAAGTTTATTGTCAATCATATTAAAGCGCTCAAGAATTTTAGAAATGTATTCAGATTGACTCAACTAAAGCTTGTCTTGCTTTATATCTTTGTGAATGTGCATGCCCAATATCTGCTTGGTTGGAACAAGGTCCTTGGTGGCAAAATGCTTGGACATATCAAGCTTCAAATGCTTGATCGACATATAGCAATAAAACAACAAAAAAATCATGTCTGAAGTACACACAATGATGGAATTCACATCTAGTATAACCTTCATCTTGCAAAAAGTTGTCAAATTTCTTATACCATTACCTAGATGCTTGCTTCAAAACATATAATCCTTTGTTCAACTTGCAAACCGAGGAAGTATTGGTTTTGTCCTCAAAACCTTCAGTTTGACATAAAAATTTCTTCCAAGATCACAATGCAAGAAGGCAATTATGATATTCAATTGTTCTAGTTCCAAATTCAAGTTAGCAATCAAAGATAAAACAACTCTAATAGAGCTATGCTTAACAATAGGAGCAAAAATTTCATTAAAATCAACACGTAGTTTTTGCCCATAGCCTTTCACCACAAGTCTGGCCTTATGTCGTATAATACCATTTGCCTCCTAGTTAATTGCATACATTCACCTATTCTTTAATGTTTTCTTCCCCTGTGGAATTTCCACCACCTTCCATGTACGATTCTTGTGCAAAGTATCAATCTGTTCCTCATCATTAGGACAATAAATAGCCTCTTGAAAAGACTCAGGTTCATCATCATCAGTATATAAGGAAGGGGAGTACCTTTGTGTGGGCTTGTGAGGGCGTGTGGATCTTCTCAATTCTTGTCTAGGTGTAACTGGTATACGTTCTTCATTTTCAATCAATTCAGTGTCTTCCTCCTAACAAAGAGACAAACAAATGTATTACAATACGGTCATCACTCTGAGATGAGAGGTTTTTACTTGGATAGTGTGAGAACAAAGAGGCCAAGTAAAACTCTATATACAATGCCTGGGATGGTGATGCTCCAGTTTCCATGTTTGGCATTTCTTATGAAATTCTTGTCCATAAATACCTTCTCAGTCCTTCTGAGGCTCCTGTTCCCTCTCTTGCTCCCTAAGTTTATTAGTTCCCCATCTTCCTGTTCCAACTATTGTTCATGATCTTTGTTTTTCTCCAACCGTGTTTTCCATCTCCTTGATATTCTCTAGTATCCTGAGAAATTATGTTGTAGCTGTGAAAATTGATGACCGATAAACTACCATTCTTTATGATGCTAATTCAGCTGTGGAATTGATGACTGGTAAACTACCATTCTTTATGATGCTTATTCTAGCTCATGTTGCACATTGAGAAGTATGCTTCATTGCCCTCACAAAAAAAGAAAAAGAGGGGGCCTGCTGGAGGGGGGTTGGCTTTTGTTTCTTGTAGAACTTCAGAATCTTATGGATTGCCCTGTGGTCTCCACTTGTAAGATTGTAAGTTGTGAGTTACCTTCTGTGTTTATAATTGTCGTATAGGCAACCAAAAACATGAATACTTCACTGTTATTTTACTATGGTTTGCTCCAAATTGCACTGATTCCCCAAATCAATACAGTTTCTTGAATCCCCTGCATATAAATGCTAGCACTTTTGTCTACAAGAAATGTGAACACAGCATTATTCAGATGCTGAAATCTTCCATAGTTGAAAGTGACAAAAGATATTTTTCCAAATTCCACTATGAGGAAAAGATACCAAGTCCATTTTTAGTGAACTCCTGCAAACTATCCTTCTTAAAATTGCCGGGAACCATACTTCTTTCTGTGAAATATTATTATATTGTGGTTATGTTAACCATAGGCCTGTGCTTCAGTACTGGATATTTCAGCCTGCAGATAAGAATAGCTGTTATCAGAATCATAATTATTTCATAGAATCTGATTTAGACTAAAAAGCTGCATTATGATGATTCAACTGTTGCTTATTTTTGGTACCACAGTTTGAACCATTCCTAGAACTCACATATATACTTGATAAATGCATGTAAAAATATGACAAAGAAACTCTAAGAATTGTGTCCCTTGTATGAATATTTTCTGCGTAACTCTTTTTTAGCATCTTGCATGGTTGCTATTCCGAAATTGATATTCTACCCTCCTACAATGAAGCAATACTCAATTCTATATATTTTCACTAATGCTGTGACAGGTAGGTGGTGCAGCAGCATATTTACAGACTGGATTCTTTGCTGCTAGGCGCTATCTTGTGCTCTTATTGGCATCAGCTTCCATCATTACTTGGCTCAATTTGAGGTGAGATTCATTGCGACGCAAGAATTTGACTGTGCCACAAAGTACATCAGGGAACCAATCCATCAATATTCATATCTAATGTCTGTTTTGCTACTATAGTTGATCATTGTGGTTCCTTTTATTGATATGATTTTTATTTTTCACATAATCAACTCAAGGTTGAAAAAAAGGCCAGATGTTGCTCATGTGTTGGTGGGCACCAAGGGTCTCTCTGAGACCAAGATACGCATATATGTGCATTCCAAACACACAGACACACACACACACACACACACACACACATATATATATATATATATATATATATGCATA